CCTTAAATGCAGATGTTCTTGTCAAATCGGGTGTAACCGCCACTGGCCCTCTGTCGCTGTCGTTATTTTCCAGGGCTGCGCAAGTAACTATTGCAGAGTACTGCCCAATCGGATGAGAGACATGACCCGGAAAGGACAGACACGCCACCACCTGTCGAGAGACGTGGGTGCAGTCTACTAGGTGGTAGGGACTGCACTGTTAGTCAGGAGACGTGATGCAGTCTGACGGGTACGGTCTTGTCAGATAAGAAGCTTCATGAGAACGCCGCGTCGCTTAACAGCGAGCTATCCCATAGCGAGCTGCCCTGTAGTGAGCTATCTCATATCGAGCTTCTTTGTAGCGAGCTCGTGGATGTTGACTTTGGGGCAATCTTCTTGCCTAAGTATTGGAGCGAGCTGATTCTCTCAGCTCGCGAGTTGGGATAGACTTGGCTTGGAGTATTCCTTTTCCACATACTAGGGTCCTTGAGCTCGCGCTGTAGCGAGCGCATTCTGTGGTGAGCTGTAATGTAGCGAGCTGTCCTCCGAGGACTTTACTGAGCTCGTTACTCAGTTGTAGCCAGGTTGTCACGCTGAGCTGTTACTTATGTTGAGTCGTGTACACGTGTCACCTTCTTAGAAGGTCGGGTCAAATCACCCTCCATCAATAGGTATTTCATCAGTGAAAGAGTCTCTTCAGGAGAAGTTTATTTGCCATTTATCACATTAGAATAGCAACTGGCTGATATCTTGACCAAGGGAGTTCCAAAGGGAAATTGACACTATATATAAGCAAGCTGGACATGATTGACATCTATGCTCAGCTTGAGGGGGAGTGTAAAGAGACTGGGCCGAGTGGGCCCTAACAGCTGCATGTGTGATATCTTTTATTTTATGTTGATGGGCCTTACTTAATGGGCCTGCTATTTGTTCTTGTTTTATTTTCTTTATGTAATTGCCAAGCTGGCCGCCCACTTAAGGGCATACTTGTCATCATTAATTTTTAGAGATTAATAAAATAGGGTTAGAGGAGAAGGGTGAATTATTTGACTTCTTCTTCTCTTACCTCTTCTCTTCGACGTACACGGCTCTTGCACTATTATTCAGATCTGATTTGCACTGTTAATTACTGATTTTAAACCTGATATTAGAAGACTGATTCACATCTATGTTCATCGTTCATTGGCCTAGCATTAGCCCTAGGGTGATGTAAGATACTTATGGTGGGGAACATAGTGGTATTGATCATATGGATGAGTTTCCTATAGCCAATAATCCACCATCACCGGTCAAGGAAGCTAATGAGAATGATGGTTCGTTCGCATGAGTTGTTGAAGCAGTTACTTTGTTCTTGTTCTCTATGGTATGAGCGTGGGTGGCCTTCCTTTAGGTTTTGTTGGTTTTATTCAGCCAAGAGCAAGTAATTAGTCATTGTTGTAATTTGTTTTTCACTCTGCTTCCTTACCTTGTATCTATATCCCATTTTTCTTAGTGTATCTATTTTCTAAATCCCCTTGTCCCACAGTTCTTGTTATATTTGAAGTAGAATTGCTAAATTTACATATATGTTAAGATGTTTCCATTGGACCATGGCAATTATCAAGGCATTCTGCTCTAACTAGCTCCTCAAGACAAGCACTATGTTCTTCTAATTCTTGTTTTGTGCCCTATACAGAGATGAATAGACAGTTGGTTTTAGTCCCAAGAATTTCTATACACAAGTTTCCAATCATTCTTCTGTATAAATGCATCACTGTGAGTCATTTATATATAAATTTCACTTCTAAGAAGGCAATTATAAGGATTAAATGTTTTCCCCTTCATCATTAATTAAGATCAGAATAAAGAGATGGCCAGACAAGCACCTACACACTTACTCTCTTTAGTAAAGATATTTTGCATGGTCTAATAGATCTCATTTGTTATCTCCAAGATACTTTACATATACATGCCCATCTCTCTAATGTTAGGGTGGATTGTTGAATGAGTTAACATGCTGATTTCTCAATCAGCTATAAATTTGTCACTCAGTTGGCAGTCAATCTGTGAACAATTTATAAGGGAAATTTTCAGGAACATAATAAGAGGCATTATGATTTTAGGAAATTCTATGGAGTACCTAGAATGTTAATTGGCTTCCAATACCAAAGAAAAGAGGCTAAGGAATGTTTTTTCTATCAATATTAATTCTTTTCCAGTTCCAAATATCCGAGATAATTTTCAGTTCCACAAGTCCAACACTGCAATCTCTTAATATCGATTAAAGAATTGGCTGTTGTTTAAAGAGTTTCACCAACCCAGGCATAGAAACACCCCTATGAAAAGTTTGAGCTTTGTGACCCTAGAAGGCAGAAATGGTAGCCATGAAAGTGTTAGGATCAGCTGAATAATGGGTGCCCATACATGATTTTATTCTGAAAATGTTGAGATCGGGCCAGAGCTCCTACTGAAGAGAACTCTAACTTCGGCATAATTTTATTCTGTTTCTCCATTTCGGCCTCTAGAACATATTGAATTCTGAAACCGACTTGAAGCAAAATTTATATTGAATGCTACCATTAACATGTACAACCCTGATGGATCCGAATTAGTGCATATTTGATTGCATTGCAACCACAATGGATATATCCATAACCTACAAATATCATTAAAAGAATCATAAAGATAGAAAGCACCACTCTTGGTTTTTAAATCTGATAGATATCTAAACCTGATGGACATCTCCATCCTCTGTATAGGCACCCCTGTAAAGGCACCCCTGTAAAGGCATCAGAACGTTAATATTTTCCTTGGAAGGCATCAGATAAGAAAACCGCTGTGAAGAACAGTTGCTGAAAACATGAGCTTCAAAATGGAAATATGAGAACACTTGTTGTCGAGAATAACCTCCGATGAAGAACAATTGCCAAAAAAACGGATGGAATATTCCCAAAGTGGAATATATTGAGCAATAAATCGATGCAATAGATAGGTTTTAATGATGCTTTAGGGGTAATTTTGTAAATGTTGATGTTTTCAGTCTAGGTCATTGACGGAAGGGAGGTTTTTGTCGAGTTATTTAAAAATCCAGGGGAGGTTTTTACTGAAGTGAAACTATAGAGGAGGTTTTTGTATTTTACCCTTTAAGTTATTTAGAAGCAGAGCAAGATATTTAAAATAAAAGCAAAAAACAGAAAAAAAGAAAAGAAAAAGAAAGAAAGTTCTTAAAAGTTCATACAACAACTCAACAGCCAACAATTACAGTTTTGGACATCAATGAACCTCTCTGAAATGCTGAAATTCATGTTCACCAAAAAATAATATCTTTCTTAAATTCTGAAGTATATTTCCATATTAAAACTCTATTCCTTTTTCAGCTCGTAATTATGTATAAGTAGGGCCTTAAAACACTAGAAAACAAGTTTGTGATAAAAAATAAAAATACCCTTGGCATTTGGTTGCATGTAAAATGAATAATTTCCTCAAAAGTATATTAAATAATAATGAATTGATTTCCTAGTTTTCTTTATCTTTAGCTATAAATTTGGATAATTGAGCTTATATATGAGTTCCCCAACTTGATCCACATTTTAGAAAATGAATTACAAAAAATTAAAAGGAACTACAATTTTTTAGAATTACTAATAATTTCTGGAACCATTTTTCCACGTTGATCATGTCACGTGCAAGCATACTCTATATTGCACAATTCTTTTAGGGGGCGATCATTTTTTGGATTTTGAGAGGGAGGGAAGTTGGTCAATGGGAAAAATCTCATTGACCAAGAAACCCATGTTTTTTTTTTTTCAAATTTATGTGGAGACTAAGGAAATTTTGTAGTGATACCCTTCTCCAATGTGGGTAAGTTAACTTTCCCACTTGGGGGGAAGTTGCCAACACTTGGATGGGATAAAAATGCCCCTTTTAATAATGGGTTTTTATGGAAAAAACAGTTGTTATCTTATTTACTTGAGAAATAAAAGAACATGGATAATTAACTTACCCGAAAAGCGAATGGGGCCTTAAGGCCATATCTTCCAACTTCAGATGGTTTTCTGATCCTTGTATTATCTTTAACTTGTGAAATTAAAATTCAAGACACCACCCAGAGGGTCTCAAAGAGGATGTTCTATGTTGAACAGTCCACACAATTTTTGGGAGTCATAGAAGTCATCAACCATGACATTACAGTTGCATTTTCCCTCATCTTTCTTGGGCTCCTTAATCATTCCATCGATGTAGCCTTGTAGTCCATGGCTCACTATGGACCATCTTGCTGAAATGGCCCATTCCCTATAGTTGCATTCATTCAAGGTAAATAATATTGTCAACAGTCCCATAACCTCCAAAAGATACCTCACTAGTGCTGGAAAACATTATGAATTCACTCAAAAATTATGTTTAGCAAGTAGAATAGGTCTAACAGCACTTCCCTTTACTCAAACTTCACACACAAGCTTGGTTGGACTGTATACTAATCTCCTGGACTGATACTATTGGCAGTCCAGCAGCTAGACCTATTAAAATAGGTCTTTGTAGTAGTCCGTAGGACTACTCCACAGTTTCTTGCCCTACCTGAGCATATCAACAACTATTCTGGGTCTCCTTGGAGTTTTTCCAAGGACAAAACCCTAAAAACTTTAGCCAACCACGACAGCAGTAGAACTTCATGTTAGTCCAACAATAAAAGAGAAAACTTAAGACAAAAGGTGAGAAGAAAAAGAAGATAAGCGAGCAGAATGAGATCGGCTTAATGCTCTGATACCATGTTGGAACGGTTTTCTGTTGGGAGATCAGGACTTGGGGGCTAAAGTCGTATATTTATGAGTACAAGATTGGGAAAACCATCACACTAAAACATAAGGCCTCCAGTCTGCAGTTCAATCTCGAGCAGCTTCATTCTTGATGAACATAACAAAGGATTATATCAGTAGGCCATCTTATAAATTTACATTTGAATGGTAATTATTTGGCACATAGAAATGATATACAGTTACATTTGTCAGTCCATTTGATGAGCCATTAACTCAAAAGTCTGGATAAATTCCAAGGTGACCAGATCCAAGAAATTCTTCCCAAAAATTAGTTAGCAGCATGCAAATTAATGAATTGTTCCATAGGGTTCCAAAAAAAAAGTGCATGTACACGGATATATATGAGAAAAATGGGATCATACCTCATAGAGGTAACTTTTGTACCAAAGGGCTCCATACATGCACATGTACATGAATACATGTAAGAATAGGATCATACATATAAATGAATACATCTAGGCTCTAGGATCATACATATAAATGAATACATCTAGGCTCTAGCCATGGCTTCTAGGATCAACAACCCGATGCACCTTCCTAGATTCGGCACTTGAGTACTGTCCAACAACCCGGGCATGAGGTACTGAAGCTTCACCTCGGGCAAGAGCATCCACATTTTCAAGCAAATACTTCTTTGGAAGCCGGCCTACAACATTGCCTTCCTCATTCCCCTCTCTGTCTAAGAACGCAAAATGTGGGATTCCCTCAACGCCAAACTCATCAAGCTCTTGTTCCCACTTTGTGTTGTCAACATTCAGCATAACAAAATTCACACGGTCCCTGGATATTATCATCATAATAATTTACTATATATAAGCAATATAAAAAAAAAACTTCTGTAGAAACTCTTTAAGCAGGCAAGTTTCCTCAGATTTTTGGATGTGATTACTAATCATATTATCCAGTATACCCTACTGACCTAAGAAGTAGTACTAGATGAAGTCAATAAATGAGTTGAAAACATGTTGAAGTTCAAAGGATATTACTTGTACTGCTGCTCAACTTTATAGACGTCTGGAGCTAATTCTCGACAAACTTCACACCAATCTGCATAAAACTCCACAACAGTGGGCATCCCATTTGAGAGAGCCTAGAAAGCAAGCAAACCAAAAAGCAGTCATGACAAGCAAATGAGAGAACAGAAATGAAATAGTAACAAGCTGGTATCCTTTCATGCCTCCAAGACAGATAATTCTACACCTCTTAGGCCTTCACCAAAGATACCAAGCTAGAAATCACTTAACATCTGATGATGGTTGGCAAGATAGAAGGAAAGACTCAGAAAATGTTTAAATATGTAATAGGTAAGCTTAGAAAGTATTAGAGAGATAAAAGGAGCAGGATATTGTGGTATGGAAATATATGCATAGAAGTGTATAAGCATGTCTGTGTAATTCAAAGAGGGTAGTGGGTACTCTGTTGCTCAATTCATAATTCAAAAGCCATGTTCGTTGTCTTCAGTCTGGCCCAGTTGGCTCATCTATTGAAGCACCCAACATTTCAGCCAAGCTAGACTTGAGTTGTCTTAGGCTCTTAGCTTTGGTCAATGTAAGGACAGCTGGAGTCAGTAGAAACAGATCTATTCAGAACTCATCAAAGTGGACTTGGTTGACCTAAGAAGTCAGAAGGTGTAAAACTATATGTCATCACTTAAAAATTAAAGATCAGGATGAAACCTAGATCTTTACTTTTATTCCATATTTCAGTAAAGCTACTGATTAAGGCTGTCCAACTCAGGTTCCTACTACCACTACATCATCATTGTAACAACATAAAACTTGTCAAAAGGGGGAAAGTGACAAACAAACTTATAAGAACTTAGGAAGAATAGATCATATAATGTGTCAAGAAACCTCTTCATAAGGTACAGCAGCAGCTGATAGGTCCTTCAAAGAAACACCAAAATCTAATCTTGTTGATAAGAAAAGTCCAACTGCTGCAAGTGTGGAAGCCACAGCTATCTGCTTATTGATATTTTTGTTTGGGAATTCGGGAAAAGCAGTATTTGAGGAAGTTTCAGTCACTTGGCTGGTTTTATCTTTAGCTGAACCAGGCTCAATAAGTAGCTCATCCTGGACCAAAATGCAAAATAAGGATATGAACATCCTGTTAAACATGAATTACTGGAACAAAACAACACAAAAGATAGGGCAAAAAGGAAAGGAAAGAAACATTTTTTAATAACAATTTTGTGTTCAGGAATGAAAATATTACAATTTGAAGCAAAAAAAATCCTTTTGTAGATCAAAAGACTAAAAATATTAAACAATTCCTCTTATTGATAAAGACATTTTGTGTTAAAATTTACATTGATGTGAACTTGGAAGTTACAAGAAACCTTCGCAGTACATTATCTTTGGTCTCCAGTGTCAACCAGTTATGACTTCAAAACAAAGGAGGCCATACACATTTGTAATGTTCTTATTCATCATAATCAGATGATCAACTGTTGAAATTTTATCTAATTGTACTGTCAAATAAGGAAAAAAGTCACTTTGGTTGGCAATGGAGACCAATAAACTAAGAAAGCTAAGGAATCTGTCCCTCTGCATTTTAGAGTTTTAAATAAAGATCTATCTGTGAAGATACCTTTGATTCCCTGAACAATAACTTCCCATCTACCTCCATTATGATAGGACAGGAGCCTTCCGAGCAACTTGTGAGAAATCATGCTACCTCCCTATCATTTGGGAAACAATAGAACAGAGAATTCCATACCACTAGTCATGAATGATACAATAATGTCATCCACCAAATTTTCTTCATCCCTTTCCATTTAGAATAGGTGTGGAAATTGCTTACTTAGGGAGAACATGGTCACAACCTCACAATACCTGATTCTACTCACATTTGTGATCTCTGTAAGCAATATGTTTATGAGTCAGCAGAACTTTTTACTATTACTTATTACACACTTCTGTAGCTATTTGTAACTTTTCTGCCATCCAGACAAGCTATTTTGCTTGAATAACTTTATGCCATAATATGCATTTTCTTACCCATATCTTCACAAACAGCAAATCAACTTGAAGGGAATGGCAAATACCAGAAGATGCTTGCTTTCTATATCTTGACAGTGTGGCCGGCCAGAAATAAGAGGAAGAGAAGAGAAGAGAAGAAGAGAGAAGGGAGAAGAGAAGAGAAGAGATTGGCAATAGAACAGTGCGGGCGGTGCTAGCTTTTATTATATTATATAAGGCGGCAGAAATAAGAAGGGAAAAGACCCTTGTGCCCCTGTTGTAAGTGAGTACAATAACAGACATAACAGAAAAAAAAAGCGCTTTAACTAGCCAAACAGACCCTAACACAAATAACTAAATTATTTCAACACTCCCCCTCAAGTTGGAGCATAGATATCAATCATGCCCAACTTGTCACACAAATCATTGTGCCGC